GGAGGGGAAAATGTGGTCAGGATGTAAAGTATATAAATCAATTAATTTTTTGAAAAGAATTATTTTAGATGGAATGTGTCTGCTTTTAGCAGAAATAAGATAATACCAAAAGAATAAAGAAACCCATAACAAGGCAGTATGCAGGTTGTAGGAATGTCATAGTGACAGGAGAGTTTCTCAAGGTTAATAAAAAGGAATCTCTTACAAGCTTTCAACCTGAAGATAAAAGAAGACAGAGAGTAAGCTACATAAATGGACAGATGGTAGTTAGATAGATGGATGATAGATACCTAGATAGAGATAGATAGATAGATAGATAGATAGATAGATAGATAGATAGATAGATAGATAATAGATAGAGCTGATAGATGAATATGTTTGTGTACCTGTAAGAAACAGAGGGGAGGAGGGAAAGAGAGAGACACTGATAGATTAATTACTACCTTCAAATGTGAAACTCGACCACTTGAATGTGATAGCTCCCATCTCATGGCTTATAAAACTTAAACAAAGTCCAATGAATGGTGTACATTAGGTAAGTCAGACTGTCAGAGCTATAATTTTGTAAGAAATTATGATATGATTTATATCTTCTCAGAAAACTATCAGATAACAAACTCAGGGAAGGCGTTTATTTGTCTTTTTTCCACACACATGCACACACACACACACACACACACACACACACACACACACACACACACATCTTAGGATTTTTCAAAGCCCATGAATATAGATAGAGATTTGGATTATGTTTAAAAGGTTTCCTTGCCCAGGAAGAATGAATGTAAAGAACTTTGTGGAGTGCAATATCTGTCAATGTCACCAATCTACGGAGTCACCTGTACCTCCTATTCAAACTTTCTACATTAATGTAAAGTTGCTACATCTTTGGGGAAAAAAGATAGCCTTATATATTTTCAATCCTAAATGCAAATGCTAAACATTCATCATGTGAATGTAGAATTAAAGTGGCAATATAATTACATAAAGAATTTAGGCCTTCTTCATTCACTGAATACAAACAACAACTTGGAGGACATTGGAGAATTAAGGAGTACAAAGAAAATGAATATCTAAAGCAGAGGCTTGCAAACAAAGCATATTGAAATAATACAAAGTAGAATCTCCAGGAGCCATGGTTAACTAGCACCTGACTTGGAATATAGAAATAAAAACACATTTGCTGAGGTATTTTTGTAGTGCAGCTGCAAAGATAGGCAGATCTGCTTCTCATGATTGATGATATTGTTTTACTTTTTAACATGACAGAATTTGTTTTTAAAAAGAAACAAAAGCAATATAAAACAACAGTGCTTTCAGATATATTGGAAGCTGTCCTACATACAGCAGATGCATAGTGTTTACACCATGGTCAAATGTGGTTTAAAAAAAGAGATTGTTGAGTGCTATAGTTAATAGAACAGAGTCAAGACAGCCCTGTATCTGAAGACACAAGAGAGACCATTATGAAGTGGCACTGGTGGATACAAAGGGCTGCAAGAGGAAGGGGCATGTCTGGTAATTCAATGTGAAGACAAGATTTTCATACAGAGCTTAAAATGAGAAAAGAAAGAGAATCATTTCCAAGAGAAGGAATACATATCAGGAGCAGCCTTGATATACTGCATTACTGTATATAATCCTACTAAGAGGTAATTGTATTTTTCTTTTCATAATGTTCAGTGTTGATATACACCTACTCACCACACACAAAAAGCTACTGTATTTATTAAGAATATATATATATATATATATATATATATATATATATATATATATGTATATAACAGTCTCTCTCAGAGTTTTAGCTTCTCAATTATTGTTCACTTCTTGTTTAGAGCTAGTCTGAGGCTAGTTGGAAACAACTTAATTAGAGGAATAAGGCTTTGGAAAAGTAAAACCCCGCATGTGTTCTAAGGAATACAGCAAACCTACATACCATGATTTCATAATTATCTCTCATGAGGATCTCACCCTATGAAACAGAGTTTGCCTTGAGGATCATTCTGCATTTTCTTATTTTTTCATGTATATCAGTATCTATAAAACCCAAGTAACTGTACATGTACATTTTGCTAAATTTATTGGTGTTTTCCTTTTTGATAACAAAATAGTAAAAAAGTAAGTTTCTCGTACTATTTTGTGGGAGTGTATTAAACTGGAGGGGGATGGTGTGTGTGTGTGTTCACCTGTGGTCTATGCATGTGTGCTGAAGCCAGAATCAGCACAGTTCTTTTCCTCTAGAATGCTCCTGCTCTCCTTCTGCCGTGAGATAGGAAAGCTGACTGAACCTAGAATTCACCATTTTGGCTAGACTGACTGTCCAGCACCCCCAGGATTGACCTGTCTCTGTTTCTTAGCACTAGGGTTGTACTGCTAAGCCTGGCCTTTAACTGAGGGCTGAAAATACAAACTCAGTCATTCATTCTTGTGCAGCAGACACAGAATGCACTGAAAAGTCTCCCTAGTCCCTGTATCTGCAACTTCTCTTCGTCAGTCAAACTTACAGCTATTGTTGAACTTGTCCATCTTTCTAAATGTGTTTTAAAAGATTAATATTTAACAAATGCTATAATAGAGTATTGGTAATTTAATTAGTATTCAATTTCAACTCATACAATGCAAATCTTCATTGTAGGTAAAAAAATGTTAAAGAAAATTCTATAGATTACTTAAACAGTGTGTTTTTAAAAGCAGTTCTCTGATATCAGCTAGATACCTGGTTGTTGAAATGAGGTGAAGTTAGCAAAAAGACACATTAGGGCTCTGATGAATGGCACTGCCTCTATTTCCAATGCCATGTTGTATATTTGACATCTGTATGTTATTTAAGCTATGTGGGTAAGTGTTGTAGGCATCCTATAGCATTTCTGGTAACACAATTTGCAAGTTCTTTCATAATTCAGAAAAAAATCAATGATTATACTTTATTTTGAGATATGACAAAAAAGTGACAAATCAAGTCGATTAAAAATAATAATAATAAAACGTTGGGAAAAGTTGACACAGAACTTGCTTATTTTTAGATGAACCACCTTGTCCCTAAACACTGATATTTTTACCAAACTGTGGGACTCACAACCCTAACTATTCACTATTTCTGTTACATGAGTCATAAAGACAGAAGCTATGCATCTGAAAAGGAGCAATGGAGACAAAAATATGTGGGAGGGTTTGAAGGAAGGAAAAAAAAGGGGAAAATGATACAATTACATTGAATGTATATATATATGTGTGTGTGTATATATGCATATATATACATAATATATAAACTATATATATTATATATATAAATATATATTTATTTATATATAAACTATATATATAGTTATATATATAAACTATAAGTTGTAATTCTTTGGTGAGGTACCTTGATAATTTGACACGTCTCATTTGTTTTATTATTTACCATTATTATTACTATTATTAAGAAATTTTCTATTCATTTTGCATACCAATCACAGATTCCCCTGTCATCCCTCCTCCCACCCCCCAGTCTTCCCCCCCAACTCACCCCCCATTCCCTTCTCCTCCAAGGCAAGCTCTCCCATGGGGAGTCAGCAGAGCCTGGTACATTCATTTGAGGCAGCTCCAAGCCCCTTCTCCCTGAAGCAAGGCTGAGCAAAGTGTTGCATCTCATTTGTAATAACACGGGATTTCTTCTCATGAAACTTAAAGGTGTTGGAATTTAGACCCTGTCAGAACACCCAGACAAGCACTATCTCCCATAATGATCTTTTAAACTAAATATCATCAATTTATCTACCTTCCTTCCTTCCTCTCTTTCTTTCTCCCCCCTCTTTCTTTTCTTTTCTTTTCTTTCTTTCGTTCTTTCTTTCTTTCCTTCCTTCCTTCCTTCCTTCCTTCCTTCCTTCCTTCCTTCCTTCCTTCCTTCCTTCCTTCCTTCCTTCTTTCTTTCTTTCTTTCTTTCTTTCTTTC